TGTGGTTATAGCTGTCTGCACTAACAGGATATAGCAATAATCAATCATGATCTTAGCTTTTGTAACATGTATGAGCTAATTATCTTGTACCGAATATATATCGACGGAGCTATCTAGTAACGTTGAAGCATACTGATCACTCATATTGAGTGCTTGTGTCTTCCTTCCGTCGACAACAAATGGCGCCCAAACAGGGATCCTGCCGGACGGGGACTCAGTACGAGTAAGCCGGAATTATAAGTCGATGGAAAACAAAGGGAAAGCCGGTCCTGATTGAAGAATTTAAGGAGTACTCGGATTTATAAAAGAACTGTACAGGAGGTGACGAAGAGAGGATCACCCGGGACGAACCCATAGTGGGTCCCGCCGGAACGCCGCAACAGGTCTGCCAGAAGTTTTGCAAAGGAGCAACGGTACCGTGAGTAAAATGGAGAGACAAGCGGCTTATGATTTACTTAAATGCTTTTTAGAAAATCGTAAAGTGTTAGATATAGATTGTCCAAAAGAATTACCTGGATTGTTAGCATACGGGGTGGCAAAGGGTTGCTTTATCAATCCTGACACAGTGTTTGAACAAGCGGAGTGGCGAAAGTTCGGGGAGAAGTTGTTTGAGGATTTGATTAATATGCAGAAGGCAGCTAAGATATTAATGAAGCCATGGAGGGCTGTGATAAATGCATTAGCAATACATAAAGCAGAACAGAAGGTTGCTGCTGCTGCGGCAGAGCGCTTAGGGGGAACTAACAGTCAGAAAGAACTGGAAATTAATCAGTACCCGCTTCCACCTTCAGTGAGAACATTTACAATAACCCAACAAGGTGGGTCAGTGCCCAGTGCACCTCCACCTCCGCCAGAAGCCCCTGAAGCAGAGGGTTTAGAAAAGAAAACGAGCATGAATCCATTTGTAGAAGACGTGCAAGGACGAGGTAGAGAGGGACTATGGGCAAAAATAGCAGAAGAAGCCATGCAGGAGGGTAATTATGAGACAGCGGCACAATTAACTCAGGCGTTCCCTGTAGTCTATTCTCCCCCCGATGCTCAGGGTAATGTAACTGTTAATATGACCAATTTAGACTGGAAATTATTAACCCAATTGCGCTCTACAGTGAGTGATTTTGGAATAAAGGGAGAACCTACACGACAGATGTTGGACTATATTTGGGGAACGAATATACTGCTGCCAGGAGATATACGTAGCATTATGAAATTAATATTGACACAACATCAGCAGCTATTGTTTAATGCACACTGGCACTCGGTATGCCAGGAGTCTGTCGCTGTGATACGACAACCAGAGGATCCACTACATGGGGTAACCTTAGAAGAGCTTATGGGCCTGGGACCCTACTTTCGTCTTGAAGCGCAGGCTTTGCTGGGCCCCGATAAAGCTAAAGAATCCATGGGGCTAGCAAGGAGGGCCTTGGATCAAATCAAAGAACCAGGGGGAATTCCATCGTACATGGGAATCAAACAAGGTAGGGAGGAGCCTTTTGGGCTGTTTATTGATCGGGTTGCGAATGCCATACAAGCGGCAGGGGTGCCAGACTATCTCAAAGGCACGATTCTTAAACAATGTGCATTGCAAAATTGTAACCCATCTATGCGTAATATACTGGCTACACTGCCGAGTACATGGACAATAGAAGAGGGACTTGAGAGAATGGCACAAGTGCCGGTAGGACCACAAGCTATGTTAATTGAGGCTATTAAACAAGTAGGGGAGAGTATCTCCAAGGGATTGAAACAGAATCAGGAACAAGTTTTCGCTGCCCTTGCTCCCTTGCAAAAACTGATAGGACCCCATGCATCAGGACGCCAAGCATTATGATGCTATAGATGCGGGATTGCGGGACACATGAAACGACAGTGCAAAACGGCAAACGTTTGGTGTCCGTCATGCCGCTCGAATACGCATAATGAATCCGCATGCCGCAAAGGAGGACAGGGAAACGGGAAAGCCAGCGGGAAGAGTCGCCCCTCAACGACACAAAAAGCGGCTTTCCCCACCACGGCAGCGACAACAGCAGCACCAATCGGAGCAACGAACCCTTTTGTCTCCAGCCAGCCACAAGCGGGAGCCTGGGACTGGACTTGGCAACGGCAGTAAATGTTACATTATGGGACTCTAAACCAACAAGAGTTAACTCCGGTGTGATAGGACCCGTGAAAATTAACGGCGAGCCCGTGGGTGCCTTGCTTATCGGAAGATCATCTGCCACTTTAAATGGAATACAAGTGCTAACAGGACTAATCGATAAAGATTATACCGGGGATATACAAATAATTGTTTCGGCTATGTTTCCGCCAGTATTTATTCCAAAGGAGACGCGCATAGCACAGCTAATACCACTACCCCATCTAGCGGCCAGCATTCCACCTGCAAGAGAAGCGCCGCGCAACAAAGGAGCATTTGGATCCACAGGTGGAATGGCCATGCTAACGGTGGGACTACAGCAAAGACCACGAAGGCCTGTCACCCTTAAATACAATGGGGAAACTATAAGAGTCAACGCCCTATTGGATACTGGGGCTGATATATCAATCATCAGCACAGAGAACTGGCCTCAGCACTGGCCAACAGTCGAGACAAGTACAACCATCAGCGGGGTCGGCGGAATGACTTTTGCTCGTCGATCCCCACCCCAACAATGGACGTTGGGGGACAAAACAGTGGAATGTACAGTCTCTATATTACCGCTCCCAGATGGAGTGCATGCCCTGGTAGGTCGCGACATCCTAGCACAAATGGGAGTGGTGTTAACCACTGATCACATGAATGCCTGCCCTTTATAGATGCGGCCATTGCTTGGACTTTCCCGATCCCTATCAGGTGGAAAACTGAGGAGCCTGTTTGGGTGGAGCAGTGGCCTTTAAAAAGGGAAAGTCTGATACACGCACATGAACTGATAAAGGAGCAGTACCTGCAAGGACACTTACAATTATCTACCAGCCCCTGGAATACTCCGATTTTTGTAATAAAGAAGAAATCCGGAAAGTACAGACTGTTACATGACTTACGTGCAGTTAATAAACAAATGTATAACATGGGCGCACTGCAACCAGGACTACCTAATCCTGCCATGATTCCTGAAGGATGGCGATTGTTAATCATAGACTTGAAGGACTGCTTTTTCACTATTAAACTCCACGAGAGCGACAAGCAGAGATTTGCATTTACACTGCCCGCTATAAATCGAGAAGGGCCGGACCAGCGATTTGAATGGACTGTGTTACCACAAGGGATGCGAAATTCGCCCACGCTGTGTCAGTTATATGTGGATGCAGCTCTCCAACCAATACGTAAACAATGGGATAAGATGATAATATACCATTACATGGATGATATATTGCTAGCACAACCATCGCCGTTTACGTTGCAGCAAAAATCCGAACTGACAGAACAGTTAAAATGGGCCGGATTGGTAATAGCCCCGGAAAAGATACAGGAATCAAGCCCATGGAAATACCTGGGCTGGCAGATCACTGAAACGAAAATTCAACCACAAAAATTAACACTCACAGCGGACATTAGAACTCTCAACGATGCCCAAAAACTAATGGGGGATTTACAGTGGCTACGACCAGTCGTTGGAATTCCGAATGAACTGCTAAACGCATTAAGACCTTTGCTGAGGGGCACAGACCCAGCGACACCCGTTACGGTGTCAGAGGATCAACAGAAAATCATACAGGATATTGCATCTATGATTACAACGCATGTCACCCATCGACGCATAGAAAATCAGCCCCTTGACCTCACAATATTATGTGGACCTCAATACCTAATGGGAGCTATAACGCAACAAAAAATAAAAGCGGGGGAAAAGGGGCCAGTGGTAAGAGTGCTAGAATGGATAGCACCGCCATTACAGCCAAGAAGAACAATCCAAGAAAAAATTTTGACCCTAGCAGAATTAATAAAAAGGGGAAGAGAACGTATACTACAAATAGATGGTGCCCCACCGAATGCTATCTGGCTACCTATCAAGCCTAATGACTTGGAATGGTTTCTACGAAATTCCTCGGACTTACAAGCAGCATTGCTACAGGATGGAGCAGAGATAATAGCAAAACCATTACCATCAACAACGCTAGCATGGATGCAAAATCAAAATTGGTTGGTAATACCGAAAAGATCACCAATACCACACGAGAATGCAGTTACAGTTTTTACGGATGCAGGAAAACGATCACGAACTGCTGCGATAACCTGGAAAGAAGAACAAACTTGGAGACATCAGATTTTACAAGCACAGCAAAAGGATTCTCTGCAAACATTGGAATTGTTTGCAGTGGTCTGGGCTTTTGTGAAATGGAAGGATGCCCCGCTGAACGTGATTTCTGACTCCCTCTACGTGGTGGGAATTGTTAATGCATCGAAGACGCAAGCCTCCGGGATGTTAAAAATGAACGACTAGCAGAATTGTTAATTAGCCTGCAACACGCTATTGAACAGAGAACGGAGCCTTATGCCATGATTCACATTAGAAGCCATCAGTGGGAGGAAGGCCTGGGAGAGGGCAATGCACGGGCAGACAGACTGGTCGCAAGTGTCACTAGAGAAGTGCCGTTGTCACCCTTTTGCAGGGCGCGTGAGGCACACGCAATATTCCACCAAAATGCCAAAGGGCTAGCCAAAGCGTATCGAATATCAAGAGCCGATGCGCAAGCTATAGTAAAGTCCTGCCCAATATGCAGCCACCATAATGCAGGAGCAGGGTTGGGAACAGGGGTGAACCCCCGAGGACTAAAGGTTAACGAAGTTTGGCAAATGGATGTTACACACATTGCCAGCTTCGGAAGATTAAAATACTTACATGTTACAATTGATACCTATAGCCATATGATTTGGGCTACCCCGCAATCAGGGGAAAGAGCTAGGGACATGCGCAGACACCTTACGAGCTGTTTTGCTGTGATGGGTGTGCCTGAAACAATAAAGACAGATAACGGACCTGCATATACAAGTGGAGCGACCAAAAATTTTATGGACTTATGGAATATCAAACATATTACGTGCATACCATATTCTCCAACAGGACAGGCCATTGTAGAAAGAGCCAATGGAACGCTAAAACAATATTTAGAGAAATTTAAGGAGATCACAGATGCTAGGGAAAGGATAGACAAAGTATTATTTGTATTAAACTACCTGTGCATATTTGGTGAGGATGATGAGCCACCTGCAATTCGTCACCACTTGGTGGACCGAAAGAATAATAATCAAAGCATGAGAGTTAGATATCGAGACATGAAAACAGGTCAATGGCTAGGGCCAGTCGACGTAATTTATATAGGTAGGGGTTATGTGTGTGTCTCTTCCCCCACAGGTCCTGTCTGGGTCCCTAGCCGCTTCGTGAGACCCGCCGTCGAAGAAGGAACAGCAGAAAGAGGACCCCAACATGATCGAGAGAAGAATGATCAGTGCGACGATGCTGGGCTTGATACTAATGGCCACCAGAGTACACACCATAACAAAGATCAGTCCACATGACAATATGTGGGTCACTTGGGCTAATCAAACAGGTCAATCGGCATTTTGTCTGTCCCTGGCTACTGCCAGAGACCCCTTCCGAACCTGTCTTTTTGGGGTCCCCATTGGAGATCCTACGGAGTTACAATCATTGTTCAAAGAATATGTTAATGTAAGCGCGGGTTCCTTTTACTATTATTGTAATGGCACTAAGTTTACCGGAGATGGAACAATTGAGAATCTGATTTGTAAGAATGATTCGACAGCAAACAATGTGGTGACACTACTAAAAAGATTACATAAAACGTTGCCCTGGGACCCGCAAGAATTAGACCTTTTGGGTTCGGTGGCCGTTGGTAATAGCAGCCAAAACTGGACTCGAACATGTTTTATACTAAGGACTGGAGGCCAGCGAGGACAGTGGACCAATATTACAAGCAAGACATATGGGTTTGATCCAGAGGGACCATACTGTGGGTATAATGACAGCAGCGACAATGTCACTGTGTTCGGGGCCAGGGTAACCGCTCGGGTTGGTCTTCGGGGACCTAAGGCATTACCCCCGGGAATATTCTTAATTTGCGGGGACAGGGCATGGCAGGGAGTACCAGCTAACCCAATGGGGGGTCCCTGTTACATAGGCCGACTAACACTTTTCGCTCCTAATCTACACGATCAACAATGGTTAAATTTAACTCGAGCAATGCAGATTTATAAACGATCCAAGCGTAGTCTAACGACATTAGGGTCTGACTGTAAAGATGATGTGCAGTTGTGGGGCCCCGCAAAAAGGATTTTCGCTGCGGCTTTAGCGCCAGGAGTAGCAGTTGCTCACGCTATGACTAATTTAGGAAAGCTTGCTTGCTGGGCTGTTAAGCAATCAAATGTTACAACAGAAATAATTACTGAATTGTCACAAGACATGGACAGCTTGCGGCATGCCGTACTGCAAAATAGAGCTGCTATTGATTTTTTGCTATTAGCACAAGGACATGGATGTGAAGACTTTGAGGGAATGTGTTGCTTTAATCTTTCGGATCATGGCCAATCAATCCATGACCAGCTAAAGTGGCAAAAGGTTCACACTCAGAAGGTTACGATAGAGAATGACTGGTTTGAAGGTATATTTAGGAGGTTATTCGGCAATATTGGAGGTTGGTTTATGGGACTGATCAGAGAAGGTTTACGCATCTTGCTAATAATCATACTAATCATAATTGCCGCGAAAATAATCTTTAGTTGCTTGACCAGAAAGCTTGAACAGCTATCGGAGAAGGTTTTTCTGATCCAAAATAAAAACGGGGGAATTGTAGAGGAATGGCTTGAGCGTAGAGGTCACCTAAACATTGAGCAATTAGATGAGGACGATCTTGCCAAATACCGCACACCGCTAGTATAAGATTAGGCTAACCGTAAAACATAAGGCTTGCAGCTGACAGCTGTAAAAGGGATAGAAGAACAGTGTCCTTGGAGCAAGGAATACAGTGTCCTTGGGGCTATAGTTAGCTCTAAAAAGAGAACTTGTGGTTTTAGCTGTCTGCACTAACAGGATATAGAAATAATCAATCATGATCTTAGCTTTTGTAACATGTATGAGCTAATTATCTTGTACCGAATATATATCGACGGAGCTATCTAGTAAAGTTGAAGCATACTGATCACTCATATTAAGTGCTTGTGTCTTCCTTCCATCGACAACATACGGAGGGTCCAATTGCATGTGGGGCTGCATAAAGGCTCCCCTGGGGAGTTCACTTGTACTTAAAGCCTTCCTTTGGGGGCACTTTTCGATGGTCCAAGGGGAATCGCAATGCTTTTTCTGAGGCCCGCATTTTCAGTCTTCTCCCATACAGCCGAGGGTTATATTTAGGCTTGTGGTGAAAGAGTGAACGCGGAGGGTCCAGTTGCATGTGGGGCTGCATAAAGGCTCCCCTGGGGAGTTCACTTGTACCCAAAGCCTTCCTCTGGGGGAACGTTTGGATGGGCGAAATGGGCTTGTAACGCATTTTCTTTGGCCCGAGTTTTCAGTTGACTGCCAGGCGGGCCAGGGCTATATTTAGGGTTGCTGTGAAAGGGCGAATGCGGAGGGTCCAGTTGCATGTGGGGCTGCGTTAAGGCTCCCCTGGGGAGTTCAGTTGTACCCAAAGCCTTCCTTTGGGGTCTCTTTTGGATGGGCGAAAGGGTCTGGTAAGGCGTTTTCTTTGGTCCGATTTTTCAGTCATCTCCGATGCCGGCTAGGGCTATATTTAGGCTTGCTGTGAAATAGTGAATACGGAGGGTCAAATTGCATGTGGGGCTTCATAAGGGCTCCCCTGGGGAGTTCAGATGTACCCAAAGCCTTCCTTTGGGGCACTTTTGGATGGTCAAAAGAGACTCGCAATGCGTTTTCTGAGGCCCGCTTTTTCAGTCTTCTCCCATTGCGCCAAGGGTTATATTTAGGCTTGCGGTGAAAGAGTGAACCCGGAGGGTCCAGTTGCATGTGAGGCTGCATAAAGGCTCCCCTGGGCAGTTCATTTGTACTCAAAGCCTTCCTTTGGGGGCACTTTTGGATGGGAGAATGGGGCTTGCAAAGCGTTTTCGGGGTCCCGATTTTTCAGTCGTCTGCCATGCCGGACAGAGTAATACTTAGGCTTGCGGTGAAAGAGTGAACGCGGAGGGTCCAGTTGCATGTGGGGCTGCATAAAGGCTCCCCTGGGGAGTTCACTTGTACTCAAAGCCTTCCTTTGGGGGCACTTTTCGATGGTCCAAGCGGAATCGCAATGCGTTTTCTGAGGCCCGCTTTTTCAGTCTTCTCCCATTGCGCCGAGGGTTATATTTAGGCTTGCGGTGAAAGTGAACGCAGAGGGTCCAGTTGCATGTGGGGCTGCATAAAGGCTCCCCTGGGGAGTTCACTTGTACCCAAAGCCTTCCTCTGGGGGAACTTTTGGATGGGCGAATGGGGCTTGAAACGCGATTACGGCGGCCCGATTTTTCAGTAGTCTGCCATGCCGGACAGAGTAATACTTAGGGTTGCCGTGAAACAGCGAATACGGAGGGTCCAGTTGCATGTGGGGCTGCATAAAGGCTCCCATGGGGAGTTCACTTGTACCCAACGCCTTTTTTTGGGGGCACTTTTGGATGGGAGAATGGGGCTTGAAACTCTTTTTCTGGGGCCCGAGTTTTCAGTCGATTGCCAGGCGGGCCAGGGCTTTATTTAGGGTTGCTCGGAAAGAGCGAATACGGAGGGTCCAGTTACATGTGGGGCTGCGTTAAGGCGCCCCTGGGGAGTTCAGTTGTACCCAAAGCCTTCCTTTGGGGGCACTTTTGGATGGGCGAAAGGGTCTTGTAAGGCGTTTTCTTTAGCCTGATTTTTCAGTCATGTCCGATGCCTGCTAGGGCTATATTTAGGCTTGCTGTGAAAGAGTGAATACGGAGGGTCCAGTTGCATGTGGGGCTGCATCAAGGCTCCCCTGGGGAGTTCACTTGTACTCAATGCCTTCCTCTGGGGGAACTTTTGGATGGGCGACATGGGCTTGTAACGCATTTTCTTTGGTCCGAGTTTTCAGTCGAATGCCAGGCGGGCCAGGGCTATATTTAGGGTTGCTGTGAAAGAGCGAATACGGAGGGTCATGTTGCATGTGGGGCTGCATAAAGGCTCCCCTGGGGAGTTCAGTTGTACCCAAAGCCTTCCTTTGGGGGCACTTATGTATGGGCGAATGGGGCTTGAAACGCGTTTTCGGGGGTCCGATTTTTCAGTCGTCTGCCATGCTGGACAGAGTAATACTTAGGGTTGCTGTGAAACAGCGAATACTTAGGGTCCAGTTGAATCTGGGGTTGCATAAAGGCTCCCCTGGGGAGTTCACATGTACCCAAAGCCTTCCTTTGGAGCACATTTGGATGGTCAAAAGAGATTCGCAATGCGTTTTCTGAGGCCCGCTTTTTCAGTCTTCTCCCAATTCGCCAAGGGATATATTTAGGCTTGCGGTGAAAGAGTGAACGCGGAGGGTCCAGTTTCATGTGGGGCTGCATAAAGGCTCCCCTGGGGAGTTCAGATGTACCCAAAGCCTTCCCTTGGGGGCACTTTTGGATGGGCGAAAGGGTCTGGTAAGGCGTTTTCTTTGGTCCAATTTTTCAGTCATCTCCGATTCCGGATAGGGCTATATTTAGGCTTGCTGTGAAATAGTGAATACGGAGGGTCCAGTTACATGTGGGGCTGCATAAAGGCTCCCCTCGGGAGTTCAGATGTACCCAAAGCCTTCCTTTGGGGCACTTTTGGATGGTCAAAAGAGACTCGCAATGCGTTTTCTGAGGACCGCTTTTTCAGTCTTCTCCCATTGCGCCAAGGGTTATATTTAGGCTTGCGGAGAAAGAGTGAACCCGGAGGGTCCAGTTTCATGTGAGGCTACGTAAAGGCTCCCCTGGGGAGTTCAGTTTTACCTGAAGCCTTCCTTTGGGGGCACTTTTGGATGGGCGAATGGGGCTTGCAACGCGTTTTCGGGGACCCGATTTTTCAGTCGTCTGCCATGCGGGACAGAGTAATACTTAGTGTTGCCGTGAAACAGCGAATACGGAGGGTCCAGTTGCATGTGGGGCTGCATAAAGGCTCCCCTGGGGAGTTCAGTTTTACCCAAAGCCTTCCTTTGGGGTCACTTTTGGATGGGCGAAAGAGACTCGCAATGCGTTTTCTGAGGCCCGATTTTTAAGTCTTCTCCCATTGCGCCGAGGGCTATATTTATGCTTGCGGTGAAAGAGTGAACGCGGAGGGTGCAGTTTCATGTGGGGCTGCATAAAGGCTCCCATGGGGAGTTCACTTGTATTCAAAGCCTTCCTTTGGGGGCACTTTTGGATGGGCGAAAGGTGCTTAGAATGAGTTTTCTGTGGCCCGAGTTTTCAGTCTTCTGCCATGCTGACTAGGGGTATATTTATGGTTGCTTGGAAACAGCGAATACGCAGGGTCCAGTTGCGTGTGGGGCTACGTAAAGGCTCCCCTGGGGAGTTCATTTGTACTCAAAGCCTTCCTCTGGGGTCACTTTTGGGTGGGCAAAAGGGGCTTGGAATGAGTTTTCTGGGGCCCGAATTTTCAGTCGTCTCCCATGCCGGCTAGGGATATGTTTAGTGTTGCTTGGAAAGAGTGAACCGGGAGGGTCCAGTTGCATGTGGGGCTGCATAAAGGCTCCCCTGGGGAGTTCACTTGTACCCAAAGCCTTCCTTTGGGGGCACTTTTGGATGGGGGAATGGGGCTTGCAACGCGTTTTCGGGGGCCCGATTTTTCAGTCGTCTGCCATGCGGGACAGAATAATACTTAGTGTTGCTGTGAAACAGCGAATACTGAGGGTCCAGTTGCATGTGGGGCTGCATAAATGCTCCCCTGGGGAGTTCAGTTTTACCCAAAACCATCCTTTGGGGTCACTTTTGGATGGGCGAAAGGGTCTTGTAAGGCGTTTGCTGAGGCCCGATTTTTCAGTCATCTCCGATGCCGGCTAGGGATATATTTAGGCTTGCTGTGAAAGAGCTAATAAGGAGGTCCAGATGCATGTGGGGCTGCATAAAGGCTCTCCTGGGGAGTTCACTTGTACTCAAAGCCTTCCTGTGGGTGCACTTTTGGATGGGCAAAAGGGGCTCGCAATGCGTTTTCTGGGGCCCGAGTTTTCAGTCGTCTCCCATGCCGGCTAGGGATATATTTATTGTTGCTCGGAAAGAGCGAACCCGGAAGGTCCAGTTGCATGTGGGGCTGCATAAAGGCTCCCCTGGTGAGTTCAGATGTACCCAAAGCCTTCCTTTGGGGTCACTTTTCGATGGTCCAAGGGGAATAGTAATGCTTTTTCTGAGGCCCGCTCTTTCAGTCTTCTCCGTTTCAGGCTAGGGCTATATTTAGGCTTTCTGTGAAAGAGTGAACCCGGAGGGTCCAGTTTCATGTGAGGCTACATAAAGGCTCCCCTGGGGAGTTCACTTGTACCCAAAGCCTTCCTTTGGGGGCACTTCTGGATGGGCGAAAGTGTCTTGTAAGGCGTTTTCTGGGCCCCGATTTTTCAGTCATCTCCGATGCCGTCTAGGGCTATATTTAGGCTTGCTGTGAAAGAGTGAACGCGGAGGGTCCAGTTGCATGTGGGGCTGCATAAAGGCTCCCCTGGGGAGTTCACTTGTACCCAAAGCCTTCCTTTGGGGGCACTTCTGGATGGGCGAAAGTGTCTTGTAAGGCGTTTTCTGGGCCCCGATTTTTCAGTCATCTCCGATGCCGGCTAGGGCTATATTTAGGCTTGCTGTGAAAGAGTGAACGCGGAGGGTCCAGTTGCATGTGGGGCTGCATAAAGGCTCCCCTGGGGAGTTCACTTGTACTCAATGCCTTCCTTTGTGGGCACTTTTGGATGAGCGAAAGGGGCTTGGAATGAGTTTTGTGGGGCCCGAGTTTTCAGTCTTCTGCCATGCTGACTAGAGTTATATTTATGGTTGTTCGGAAAGAGCGAACCGGGAGGGTCCAGTTGCATGTGGGGCTGCGTAAAGGCTCCCCTGGGGAGTTCAGTTTTACCCAAAGCCTTCCTCTGGGGTCATTTTGGATGGGCGAAAGG